ATTTATTATAATATTTAGGATTATGTTAGTCGAGAACTTTCTTAGGCATAAGAAAACAAAGTATAAGCAAAACCAAAAACAAACAAAAACTTTAACACTCAAAGAAAATAATATATGACTACAAGAAAGGTTGAGCAATTACTGCAGACAAATCTTACCTAACTGCACGCAAGTCACTTTGCCTCCCTTTAAGGTAACTAATTTGTAGAATCTCATGTAATCACATGAAGATAAAGCCACTGAAAACTGGAATAGCAATGACAGTTTTCTTTTGTGACAGCTTCATAGCTTGCTCTGTTTTTTACCTTATAATTTTCCTGCTGTTTTCTGCAATTTTGGTCACTGCACTGTGGGTTTGGTTTCATAGCCATAGTTGGAAAGAAATCTTGCATTGCGTTGTAACCAAGATAGTAACTCACAGTGCCAAAATTCAGCAAATATCTAGCAAAACAAAATGAGAAAGCAGGTCCTTATAAAAGGATACAATCAAAAGAGTTCAATTGCTTGGACAATCACTTCTTTTTCACCTCTAAGGAGCGCCTGGAGTGCACATTCATACCACTGACCAGTAAGTGAAGTACTGAAAGGTTACTGCAATTATCCTGAAATCAGCTGTGGTCACTTGAGTTACTGACAACACCAAGGCTGAATCAAAACAGAACCAGGTCCTCTTGGGCTGTTTTGGTGCAAAAACGAGTCAACTACAGTTTCTGACAAAATATGCTTAAATACATAAGTAATTCTCCTATGCCTAAGCACATTCCTACTGGACAGATGCAGATTCCAGGTATTACGAAGGCAGTTTTCAAGCCTAATTACCCTCTCTCCGGGGTCAAATGTGCAATGCAAATGCAAGTTAAATTTAAGTGTAACATTTGAAACCTTTGTGAAGTGAAACATTTGAGGTTGGTCTTCATTAAAGACCAACTGCTATGGATATGCAATATCTTAATAAAACATTTAAAAAACATTAAAAAAAAAAGTACAAAAATCTTCCTCGCAGAGAGATGCAGGTTTTTAAAAAAAAAAAATGAAATAGTATTTCGTATTGATGTAGAACTACTTTTGTTGTACACCTCAGATTTTTATAACACCAAGGCTGCAAGAGAAATTGTTTCTCCCTTGTTCATGTACAAAATTTCAGGGGAGAGTTAGCCCTCTTGTCATTTCTGCCTGTAAGTCAATGATGTCTAAGGGAAACTTGTTTAAATACAGAATTAAGAGAAGAAAGAAAACTATACACACACACACAAAAAGCGATGTGCATACACAATAAAAAACTCTTTAGGGGCAGGGAAAGGTCTTGATTCCTAAAAGTACTATTAAAAACAGCAATGCCAAAAAAAAAGTCTTCTGCGATTCAAGCTATATGTAATTCAGCCCTGCCTAATGCCACAATCACCCTTTGGAAATATGCCACAGACATTTTTGAAGAACCAGACCAATCATTATGAAAGATCTCCTCAGAGCCCTTCATCCCGCAGCGCTGCACGCACCGAGCAGCAGCAACTGGCCACTTACTTCAGAACGTTCTGCACAAGAATTCCTGCCACAACACCCATGGTGGTAGGAAGACTGGCTGCACAAACCCCTTCTCGCTTTAACGTTTTCTCATCAATATTGGCAGCAACTACAAGTGGAGGAGCACACTGTGGGAAACAAAGAAGTTCCGTTTTAAAAATGCATTAAATACAAACATAGATCACATAACCATCATATTTTAAGCTACTCTCATCAGCTGTGCCAGAATGAGTCACATTCACCAGTCAGCTGGTCTTCATATTCCCAGCCCCATTTTAAAAAGAAAACAAACAAACAAAAACAAACAAAACCCAAAACTGCAATCCTGACAAGAGCTGCATACCGCAAAGCAGGCGGATTCACCAGGTATGATTAGCTGTATATGTCCTGACACTGCATTTTCACTCACTCCAGATTCCATCCAGATTTGTCCAAGTTCATTGCAGGCCTTAAAAAAAAACCCACACGCACATAAATATACATATAAGCAATGCAAGAGTTTAATAGAAAAATAAGTTCTAAGTTGAGACTGATTAAGCACAGCACCTTTCTGCCTTAAAGCCAGAAGATTAATAATCAAGAAGATTAGAAAAGGCAGGAAACACAAAAGTAAAAACTAAAGGACATATTGTCCTGATGAAGCTAGGCCTTTGTGCTTGCATGAAGACCTGTTAACACAGAGTTTTAAATGGGTACAGGCATTAGAAGTTCAGTTACACACTGATACTGCCAAATCTAACTGGATGCCCTACCTCCTCATACTTTCAGTGGCACAGATACAGCATATTTGTCCACCTTTAGTGCATATAATTTGTAGGTCAGCTAGCTGAACGATAAACAGAAGACATGCGTTTTGCGTAATAGTCTTCGCTGGGTGCTACTCTAAAGAAAAGTAGTGTGATTAGGTGCACAACTTCAAGACATTTTTAATATATAAAAAGTCATATGAAGTGTACAATTAGCTATATATGGTTTTAAGGAAGATTCAACATACTAGACTGAACCTACATTTATAAAAAGAAAATAATATGGAAATTCAGAGAGAGTTTACAACAGTCCTTTAAATACCTAGCTGATAACGCTGAGTAAAAGACTACAATTGTACTCACGCACAGAGAATGCTTCTTACAAGAATCAGATAAAAGCTCAGATTAATTTAAAGAAACATGAGGAAGAACTTTCTGAAAAGATTTTTGGAAAGATCCTGTCTTTTCTCTAGTCCCCATAATTCACAACTATTGCAAAGGAAAAATACTTACTGCACAAGCTCATCAAGAGTCCAAGCAAACACCCCTGACGGTCTTACCGTGTTAATTGCCATACGAGCTTCAAAGTTGTCCACGCAGCTCAGAACAAGATCAACGGGCTTCCCTTCCTCTAGGGCACCGTTACTGAAATGAATATCCATTTGCGTGAAATTGCTAGTGGGCCAAAATACCCACATGGCATCGACATGCATGTTTAGATTAGAGAAATATGCTTCCTGTGTATTTCTAACAAAATGTGCAACTTCTTTTGCACTTGCACAACTATATTTCAGAAGTAAAATCAGCTGCCATAAGAGCAGCACACTGAAGCTGGGTTCAAATATACGGGTATTTTAGATAAAGGGAAGTTTTATATAGTATACACCTGCATCTGCTTTCTTTCTGAAGCACACTTCAAACTACCAGAGCAGACAAAATGTGATTTGTTGTGCTGCTGTAATGGAAAAAAAACAACATAACTCAAAACTTAACAGTGTTAGATCGGAAATCTAAAAGATGCACTAAAAAGGTATTACTATTTTATAGATAAAATAAATGTTCTTTAGCACAATCTCTTGGGGACTATGAAGAAATGGGTTTTCATATATACATATTTCCCACTGATTTTCATTTGGAATTTACTAAATTAAAAGTTTTCAGTGAAAATGTGAGACCCTATTTAGAACCAAGCACCAGAAGTTAGTGATCTGTTTTTGCTGTCAGATTTTACCTTATTCTATCCATGAAATGTTGAAAGTTGTCCAGTGTAGTGATATTGTAGTTATGTACTTCAAACTCAACATCAGGGTTAATATTCCTTATAGAGAAAACAAAATGAGTCAACACTAACAAATACAAGGGTAGCTGGCACCCTACCTCCTAACTTCACAAATATTGCTTATTCTTGAACTTCCAGTCTCCTCTCAAGTCTAGTATGTCCATGTGGACAGATTATATCAGAAGAAAAAGAATGCTTTGAGTGGCAAAGCAATCTTATAAGCAAAATTATCTATACTTAAATATTACATTTACATTAAGGTTTTTGCCAAAACAAAAACATCTTTAAAGTATCAATCATTTCCACTGATGTTTTATACTCAAATATTCCACTGATATTTTTATATCCAAATTTCTAATTTAGACTGTGCTACTTTAGCAACAAATATTACTCTTCTAATCACTTGCATAATAGCATCCTGGGCATATACATGTTGATACCTGCTTTCCTATCTACATACCTCAAAGTATGCTCTGCTGCTTCCACTTTGCTTAATCCAGCTTGATGAGGTTGGAAGAAGAGTCTGTTCATGTTTGCCAGTTCGACTTTGTCATAATCAAACAGAAGCAGCTACAATAAAGATTATATCAACATAAATAATCTCCTAAAGACTCTGCAAACAAAGCCCTAAGGTGACCCATTTTGTATAGCAAAGCTAATCCTTGTGTGTGGGTGTGAAGGCAGGGGGGGAACCCCAAAATATACCTATCGCTTTTAACTGTTACTATATTTTTAGTCTTTAAGAATTTCATGCTAAACTTCCTCTGTTTTCCTATTGCAATAATCCCATACAATAAATATTACAAGACAGCTAGACTCCTATAAGAGCACTGAGAAGACAATCATCCAAAGAAGGCTCACCTCTATGATACAAGATCAAACCCTACAAAGAGGAATTTCACCAGCACAAGATAGACAAGACTGATGTCTACCCAAGGAGTGTTCTTGAGTGCTTTCTTCAAGATACTTTGACTGGGACAAAATGTACTATGGGAAATCTTATCTATCTCTTTAGAGGGACAGCTAGCCCTTCTACTATGAAGGGGAACAAGGGAAAAAGCCATTACCTTACCAATGCCACATCTGGTCAACATCTCAGCAGTCACACTGCCAACTCCACCTACACCCACAACCGCAACTGTAAAGGTGCGGATTTTCTGGAGGAAGCAATAAAACAGAAATCAGTAGTACATCAAGTATGATCCTAATAAGAGAGAGAGAGAGGGAAAAAAAGGTTGTTTTAATGCATATATAATCCTACCTCATAGTCTTTGACTATTCCCATTCTTTTCAGCGCCATGAGACGGCTACAAAGAACAAAAGCAAGAGTTTTATCAAGAGGCTCTCTGCGTTTTTAAAGGGAATTTTGCTTTACAGGCACCTAAAGTCGTGCCTATTTTAAAGGCGAGCGAGCCCAGAAACAAGCTCAGCCCCGCAGCGCCCACAGCAGCTGCATGTGGCGCGAACAACACGGCAGGTACCTCCCCAAGAGCGAGGCGGGGCGGCCCGTGTCGCCCCGTCCCATCCCGTCCCATCCCGTCCCCGGTGGCGGCGGCCCCTTCCCCATCCCGGGCGGCGGCACCTGTAGGGGTTGTCGGGGGTCACCTC